TAAAAGATTATATAAATTCTTCTTTTTTATGTTTCTTTTGTTTTGTTTTTTTTTTTTTTGAACTTGATGCCTCCTTATCTAGGGTCTGGACAGAAGTACAGCACTTTAGTACTCTGTTACAAGTGACAGTGTTCTCCCCTAGTCTTGCCTAAATCCTGATAGCAGAGTTCTTTGTTTCTTGGGCTAGTTCTTGTGTGTCACACAGGTCTCCCATGTAGAAACACCTCACTTTTCTTTATCCAGCAGATGTGTTGCAAAATAGTGTGTCAGGTTTGGGTAGCTTGCACAGGAGTACAGGAGAACTCAGTGTGGTGACTGTTCATTGATGTTTTGTTTTGCCAGATGTGTTGAAACAATAGTGTAATCTCGGATTGTAGCTCCTACTGTGGTTGACACCAGCTACTGATTAAACCTTTGTCTTTTTCCCTCTGCTAAGGTAGATGAATGGAGGAATAAATTTTGTGCAAGTAAAAATAGAAGCTGTGTCTGTATAATTACGTATGCTGTTTATGGTCAGAAAGTTGCCTCTTTGGCCAAGAAAAAAATGCCATAAATTTATATTTGATGTAGTATTTAAACTACAGACACAGGAATATATATAAGAAAACTCACCACCCTCTACCAGCAAATAAGAGAATGCAAAATACATCTTTAAGCTAGGACTAAAGCCTTATTTGATTAACTTACATATTTACAAATGCACACTTTGCTGGTTATGAACTAACTACCAACAGGAAGCATTTATGAACCTTAATGAAATAAGGCTGTTACACAAAGATCTCTGCTCATTTGTTATATTGGAACAGTCAGAAATTGTAATATTTGGCATTTTATGAACTAAATCATTGGCTGCTAAAGCTTTATTTATGATGTTCGTCTACAGGCTTGCTTCTCACTGGAAATGTTTGAATACTTATGTAGGTTAATAACTTGAAAGTGTTACACTAGCTTGTTGTAACAGGAGCTTCTTACTGGAAACTGCTCTAGTACTTTTTATAACCACATGAAAGAACCTAAATCATAACAAAAAGGATAGTGATAATCTGACCTAGATGCCAAGAATATGTAACTGGGTACCCAACATGTTTTGGTAAGCGATGCAAAGCCCTCTTTTACTGGCTGTCTAGAATTAGTAACTGATGTTATCTAGTCTGTGTGATACATTACATTGTAATTTTTTAATAAATCAATTTATTTTCCTAAAATCCTCTATGAGAACCAAGATCACAGAAAAGAAAGCTCGTTAGTCACGGGAGAAGTGGAAAAATACATGGACTTTATTTTTAGTCAGCACCTGTTTTGAAAAACAAGCGCTCCTAACATCAAGGCAGATGCTATGGTAATGTATAGAAAGCTTACGAGTTTTGAGTGGGGTCAAAAATAGCTGGGCTACCCTGGGGGGGAATAAATCCCTTCCCTTCTGAACCATTCACTCTGGAAGAACCATGGGGAGTTCATGCCCCAGTGATCACCGCAGAGGCAACAGGTCAGGGCTTGCAGCTGCATCAGCGTGCGTTTTGGGGCTGGGCACACTGCTGTCATCCCAAAGCATGGGTACGAGATGGCCATGGTGTGATCACAGTGTGCTGTGTCAGGCTGACAACGCTTGATGTCATTGTGCTGTAGCCACAGCAACTCGTGAAGGGGCATTACTGGGAAGATGACATCATAGCTGCAGCTTGACGTTGATAATGACATCATAGCTGCAGCTTGACGTTGATAGTGACATCATAGCTGCAGCTTGACGTTGATAGTGACATCATAGCTGCAGCTTGACGTTGATAATGACATCATAGCTGCAGCTTGACGTTGATAGTGACATCATAGCTGCAGCTTGACGTTATAATGACATCATAGCTGCAGCTTGACGTTATAATGACATCATAGCTGCAGCTTGACGTTGATAATGACATCATAGCTGCAGCTTGACGTTGATAGTGACATCATAGCTGCAGCTTGACGTTATAATGACATCATAGCTGCAGCTTGACGTTATAATGACATCATAGCTGCAGCTTGACGTTGATAATGACATCATAGCTGCAGCTTGACGTTGATAGTGACATCATAGCTGCAGCTTGACGTTGATAATGACATCACGCCAGGGGAAGGGAGCTGCACCCAGATTGGCCCAAACGTCCCCATCTCCACTGCAGTCCTTCGGGGCCCTCCCTTATATAGCGGCTATTAGGTCCCACCTCCAAAGCCTGATTGGTTGAGTTCCGCAGGGGGAGGGCTGTGATTGGTCTGAGGGGCTGTCTGTCAGGGGGCGTGGGCCTGCGCGGCCTGTGTGGAGCGCCGGGAGGCCATTGTGGCTGGGGCAGCTCTGAGCGCCGGAGGAGGAGGCGGTCGCGGCCCGCGAGCGCCGCGCACGGTCCCGCCGGAGCCCGTCCGAGGGAGGACACGGTGAGGGAGGCCGCGGTGAGGGGGCCCCTGCGGGCGGCGGGGCCGGGACTGGAGTGGGGCGAGCTCCTGGCCGGGGGGCCGGCCCCGGGGCGACCGGAGTCCCCCCGCTTCTCCCGCGGGCCCCGCCCGCCGAGGCGCGGGCAGAGCTGCGGTTCTGTGCGTGCTGCTGCCCCGGCCGAGTGGGAAGGAGGCGGGGGGGGGCGAGGCCGCAGGGCCGGGGCTCGGGTCCTTCCTTCTGCGGGGCTGCCCTGGCCGAGCCCCCCGCCCTTCCCCGTGCCGCAGTGCCGCCACCGGCCCCGGCCCGCTCCGCGCCCGCCGGGACCCGCCTGTTCTCCGCTTTCTCCCCTCCTGCTTCGTGTCCAACCCAGGGCGGGATCGCCCCTTGCTCCGCGCCCGCTGGGGAGGGCAGCGCGTCCCCGAGCAGCCGGGGGCCGTGGTGCCGCCCCGCCGGTGCCCCCCTGTGCACCGAGGGAGAGAAGGGAGCCCTGCCGAGCGGAGGGAAGGGGCAGGCCCGTGGCGTGCGCGCCCCTCTCAGCGCAGTGAGAGCGACCCGGAGCTTTCCTGAGCACAGGCGGCTGCTCGGCAGAAGTTTCAGAAGAGGTGTAAGCAGCGCTCTTGCCCGGTTGTACGGCGGTTACATAATCCTACAATACCGTAACTGGTTACAGCATATACACGTTTAAACTTTTTCCCTTTCACCCTCCAGTTTACCTTCGCAGAGGTGCTGAGCTACGTGCACTGTTTGTCTGCGGTGCGTGTTTAACAGCTGGGTGATGCTAGAGCAGGTTGTTGGTAAAATCTTTGGTCAGGAATACTTTGGGTTGCCTCAGGAAAAAGGGGGACTTTTCAAAGAGCTGACCAGATACACAGTGCCTCTAAACTCTGCTGTAACAGATTGGCGTTACTCAGGTACTGCTTTGCTACACATTCCTTCTGTAACAGGCTGTTCAAGGGCTGTGAGTGAAGGGACGGGAGGTAACTCGCTGTCACTTTGTAGTTGGACTTACACCTGTTGATATATATTGCAGTAAAGATTTTAAAAAAAGCCCCAACACTGTCGGATAATAGCCCTTAAAAGGGCACATCTGAATTTGAAGTGCATTTGCAAGGGTGAATAAGAGAATGGGAGGAAGATAGTAATGGAATTTGCGTATCTTTTCATACATACATATTTATGTTCATAGCCTATTCGTTCTGTCAGCAGTAGAATGTTTATCTTGAGGCTTAAAAGTCAAGCTAAATTTCTTGATGTTCTTATGCTTCATTGTCAGTAACAACATTGCTGTAACCAAAACAACCCTGGGAATGTGTTCCCAACTGCTACAACCTGTTTGTTTATAAGCTTTTGACTTGAAGATATCCAGAGGACAGATTTGATTAATGATAAGTTGCCATTTTAAGGGGAGTTGCCTTTTAGGGAGGTGACTGTTCAATACAGGATGTATGTTATAGTGCAGTTGCTTTCAACTTTTTAACATTCCTCAGTGGAGTTCCATATAACAACTCATAAGCCTACTGATGGTAGGTTTGGTGGGTGGTTAATTTTCTAGGTATCTTTCATGAGCAACAGGTTGAAAACCTGTAAGTTCCCTGTATGTGATGTGCTCAGTCAGCTTTGTTATATTAAAGTTGTATTAAAAACACCCCACAACATTCAATTCATACGCATCTTGTGCATGCTGTAAAATAGAAAAACATCTTGAAACTTTGGGATGCGGTAATGTGTTGTTATTGGTGAGTAGGAGTGTGTTTGCTGACCATCTTGACTTTAACATTTGCTGCTGGTCCTGCTTGCTGCAGCTAAGAAGCCATAAATTAAATTTACATTTCAGAAATGGAAAGAATGCCTACTTCCAAAAATTCCTCTAGAGGAGAAGTGTGGAGTATGTTAGCTGGAGTGATGAATCAGATTACTTCAGGTAGGAGAGTAACAGCTCAGGATTAAGAAACTCACTTGCTAGGTATACTTTTCCTTTGAACAACAGGAAATCTGTTGTTATTTGAGGGATCTTGCCCTCAAATAGGCTGTTTGTCTGAAGTCCTATGAGCAGCGACCATCCGTAGACACCTAACTACATATGTCCTGATGCATATGAGCAGCTTCCAGCCCAAGTGAAAATTAGGGTTCAGCTTATGGACAGGATGGTTATGTGTACAAAGAATTGCAGAGGATGTCAGAATACGTAAAACCTGTGTTGTGATCCCTCATTCCCTCCCTTGGTCTTGTCTAAAGAGCTTATCCCGATATCTAAATGATTTTTTAAAGATGGCTTTATGCAGACAAGGTTCTTTAAAGGAAGGGTTTCTCTGGTTCAGGATAACTTCATTTTCCCATGCTTATTTATCTCCGTTATAGAAAAATGTTTCATTAACCCATGAGGAGATACAGGGTAGTTCTAGCATAACAGGTCTTTAGCTTGATATCCAGCTTACACAAATTCTTTGCTATTCTGGTTTTGTTCTCTAAGTCTTTTTCAGAGACGGGATCTTAACCTTCCAGCCATGCCTTTGTTCATTTTCATACGTTTCCTCCTAGCTGATCCTGGTTTGTTTGTGTCTTTGTTTGTTTTTCTTAAGCTTCTAAGAGGAAATAGCAAGTAAACTTACTTCCTAAATTGGTGCTGCAAATGACCAAGTTGATCTACTTTTTAAAATGATTCGGTTTTGAGAACCTAGAAGGTAAAAGGGACTCTAGACATTTCTCGAGAATTCTTTAAGGCTAACCATGACCAGTTCAGTTTAAACCCAGACTTTATTAGGATTTATAGGTCTTCCACCTGTTTTACTTGCAGATTTGTTGGAGTTCATCTGCTGGTGTAAGCTGTGGAAAAGATGCTGCTCCCTCCTTCGTGCACCTAGGAAGGGAGAGGTCCGCATTCTGATTCCTGAAGCAACCAAAAGCTATTCATGTGGCTGTGTGTCCTTCTAGGATGGGCTTCTGGGTTTCTTTTGAGGCTTTTCTCTTTTGCATTGGCTCACCAATGTTTTGTAGGCCAGTGAAGAGAGAGACTAGCTGCTCTTCCCTTAGCTAAACCAGGCACTGTGCAGGCTGGTGGTTAGGACAGCTGCTCTGGGGGAAGGTGATCTGCTTTCATTTCCTGTTTCAAGGAACACTTGGCTGTGTGATTTACTTTGGGCTGTAATGACACTGCCCATCATAGTGAATGTGAAATTAGAAATGGGAGCATTTGTTGGAGACCTCTTCAGTAATTACTGAGGTACATTTCTTGTAAGGTTTGAAGAGGGATGGAGGGCCAGAAATACTGCAGGTCTGTACTCATTACTGTGGCACTTCAGAGCTAAAGATGTTTAGTCCATTACCTTGCTTGCCAATGTAATCACCTACCTCTAATTCATTCTTGACAGATGAATGTAACTTACTCTCTATAATAGAGTGGAAGTCCCTCAAACTGTAGCACAAAACTAATTCTGGTAGGACTGTACCTATGCCAACTGACAGCATAGTATGTTATGGTGTGTTTAAAATGGGAGGGAGGATGGGTAGCAATAGGTATGGATCCGGCAAGAGTTGCCTGGCAAAGATAAGGAGGCAGAGCCCTGCTCGAAATTTCCTACTGGACTAAGTTGAAAGGGATGTTGGAGAAACTGCCATGAGAATTCTGGGGGCAGTTGTTTTGTTTCAAGCCTGTTTTGCAGTTGTAATCAAGTTTTTCATTATAATCCTGTTTCTTCTGTGTCTGTGGACTTGGTGGGTTTCTGCCGTTGCTTTTATCTGCGTTACCAGTGTTTGAAACACCTCTTTCCCCCCCACCCCGTAGTACAGACATTACTACAGTCCTAGCACATAGTAGTAATTCTAAGTTAAGGAGTAGCCTTCAAGGAGTAGAGAGTTATTGGATTTGGGTGGTTTTGTTTGCTTTTGCAGTTGTTTACTTAGCTGCTTTTTGTTTTAGCAATTGGAATAGAAACATGCAGTTACTTAAAGCAGTGAAGGCTGTAATTATTTGCTGTCTGTCTGCAAGTATTTTTCATTAGCAGTGGCAATACACGAAGTTGAAAGGATGCTTATTTAATGGTGTGCTATTGAAAAATTAATATGTATTAAAATATGTATAATATATTTTCCATCTTGTCTACCAGAAATCAGTGAGAGATTGAACATTTGTTTTCTTTCTTTTTCTTTAAGATCTTGAAAACTTTACTGGGTCCTTGAGAGAGAAAACTACATGACACTACACCATGAGTGACAGTAAATGTGATAGTCAGTTTTACAGTGTTCAAGTTGCAGATTCAACATTCACTGTATTAAAACGTTACCAGCAATTGAAGCCTATAGGATCAGGGGCACAGGGCATTGTTTGGTGAGTAATAAATACTTCATTCAAATATAAAAACTGTAAAACAGAGATTGAATGTATGTGCCAGAATGTAAAATACTGACGATAATTTCTGTTTCTTGCTACAGGGTTGTGGACTAAATAAATTCTAAAACACCTGCTTGCTGTAGCTCATGTGTAAACCTATTTTGTTTTGGTTTTAGGGTAAGATTAATGTTTGCCTAACTGCATATAATAAAATGGTCAGCAAATTTCCTTCTCATTAACCACTTTATTTCTGTTTCTAGTTCTCACATTCCCCATGTAGTTATGATATTGCAGTGTAAGGTATGACAATGAGAGATTCTGGGTTTTACTCGTTTCTTCATCATGGCCCCCTTTCTTCCCCCCCTTTTATTCCCGATCACTCCTATCCATTTCTAGGAGCCATCAATGCAGTGCCTTGCCATTAACTGGCAGGATGAGACAAATCAGTGTCATTGTCACTCCATGGATTAACCAGAAAGGGATGCTGTGTGAGGGGCTGGGCTGGCCGGCTCTTCCTTGGTGTGTCACCTCAGCTATATGTCCAGCCTCCACTGGCCCAGGACGGGAGAGTCAGTAGTCTGATCCTGAACCTTAGTCTCTTGTATGGCACCACACCTCTGGGCCAGCTAAAGGTAAACATTTTCAAATGTTTTTTAGACTGCAGCAATCCGTTCTACACGACTTAGTGCCAGCCCGTGTTTTGTTGGGCAAAACTTACTTGGTAACAACAGGAATGTTTATTGATGCACTAACTGAGCAAGCAGCCTCCCAGTATCTAAAGGGCCAAAGCTGGAGAGGGACTTTTCACAAGGGCAAGTAGCGATAGGACAAGGAGGAATGGCTTTAAACTGATACGGGAGATTTAGGCTAGATGTTAGGAAGAAATTCTTTCCTATGAGGGTGGCGGGACACTGGCACAGGTTGCACAGAGAAACTGTGGCTGCCCCATACCTGACAGTGTTCAAGGCCAGGTTGGATGGGGCTTGGAGCAACCTGCTCTGGTGAAGGATGTACCTGCTCATGGCAGGGAGCTAAATGATTTTTAAGGTCCTTTTCTAACTCAAGCCATTCTAATATATGCTCAGGAATTCTCTAATATTAGACTTGATCACAACACATGGTGGGCTGTTCATGCATTAAGTCCTGTCTGTGGTTTCTCTTCATCTATAAATTCTGCAGGATAAGTGTGATGACTCATGTCTTGTGAGCAAACTCCTTATACAGCACCTGCCCATGTCTTTTTGGCCTTCACATAAGTGTAATAAATTATATATGTAGGAATGGAATGCATTTTTGTGAGAACATGTCTTTAAGTTACTTAGATACCTCTGTTGTCCTGCTAATAGGTGAAAAATAAGCAAGATGAGAACATCGTATTTCATTCTTTAGCTGGTTGAATGGTGAGGGGATAGGCATACTAGATCTTGGTTATTAGTGTTTGGGTAAGATTTAGTGTAGTGCTAACATCTTCCAGGTATAAATATTCTTAAAGTTATGCTTGTTTTAGATGACATGCAGGAATTTAGGGCGGCTGTAAGCATTCCTCCTTTCATTACAGGTAGTGCATTTCTAAACTATATGACTTAAACTAAGTGTCTGCTTCAAAATGAAGTTCAGGTAGTGTCAGAGTCACTGTTTTTGGGGGAGAAAGATTTGATTTATTGACTTGTTTTGAGAATACTTGATTTATGGAACAGCAGAATGAAGCACTGCATAAACTCTTCTTCATGTGAAATATCTGAAAACTAAGTCCAAGTTGAAGAAGGTGCAAAACCCTAATTTCTCCTGGAACTCCTTATAATATTCAAAGGCAAGGTACGAAATACTAGGATGTAAAATGTAGAAAAGTCCCTGTAAGATGACTATCTTGTTGTATTTTGCTGGAAAAATTGTCATTAATCATCCAATGTTTAACATAAATACAAGGAAAGGTATTTCTAGAGTTCTCTGTGTGGGTTTTATTTTTTGGTGAGACCTGTGATTGACTTGAACAGCTAATTCATGTGGACCCTGTTAGTTATTGATTTTATACCAGCTCCCAGGTGTAGTTAGTCATTAACATATGCAAAACTTGTCATTTATGTATGCCTTCTGGGGGAAGTGAATACTGAAACATCAGGGCTTTCATATTTGGGAGGAAAATAATTTCTCTGTTTGTCTGGCCAGTTGCCTTCCTCCCATTTTGTGTTTTGTTTTGCACAGACATAAAGGTTTTAAATCAGAGAGTGATCATATCATTGAATTACAGCATATATATTTCACAGAACTAAACTGAAATAAATGCTAGCAAGCTTTTTGTGCAAGTGGCACATTGATTCAAATTTGGGACATGCTTCCAAGAAAACATCTCATGGGTGATCCCTGGTGTCGCTTTTCCCAGTAGGGAAAGCAGTGACTTGATGCTGATAAACTTCATGAGTATTGTTGTTATCACAGGGGAGCTGTACTGTTTGTAAGAGTTCTATAATTTGATGGCTCTTTTAAGCCTGGTATGATACATATCTTGATGAGGTAGGAAAGGAGCTCATAAAGAGCTTAAATATGCTTGGAAAATATACGTGAATAAGAATTCTTTCCTACCTTATGAAAGTAACATTAAATGGAAATAGAGTAATGTGGGAATCCTTATTTAAAACTGGAATTATACAAAGATTGGAACTCTTGAGGAGTTTGTAGTATGAATTCACATATATTTTGCCAAACAGTCTGTGGGTTACTAATGAAGACTATTCCCCCTTCAGTCTTGTTCTTCATATGCATATAATTTAGGTTTATATTCTTACAGCTATTAAAACAAGATTACACCTTGACCTTAAACTGTAGAGATAAAAATAACAGTTCTGTTCACTTTCTTAAACTCTTGTATACCTCCCTGCAATCAGTTTTTCGTATTTCTCAATTCTATGGACTTTTTTCCCAAAACCAGTTGAGGAATGTAATTTTATGCTACACACTGCAATTGTCCGTAACTATTATCTGCATACAGGAGAGTACTGATGCTGCAGGACGGATCAAAGAGATGTGGTTGTGACTCTCCTTTAGCAAAGATAAATTTCTGTTGCACATACTAAGTGGTTGTCAGTCAGCAACACTGTCAAAAATACTCAGCAATACCGATGAGGCAACTGAAATGCTGCTTGATTTTTAATTAGCTTCAAATATTTTTAGATCTTGCAATTTTGAATGTGAGTTTTGAGTCAGCAGATTTGGTCTTAAGACAGAAAGGAGGGCAGGAAGACATCTGATGAGTGTTAGTGCCTTCTGTTTAACCTATGTGTGTCTATTAAAGGATGTGTAGATTTTAAAGGATGCTTGTTTTCTAAATGAAAATTATATGAAGGTAGTGAATAGGCTTTTTCGCAAATCTTGATTTCCTTCCTCACTCCTCACTTTTTCTCTCCCTCAAACAGACTTCAACTTATGTTGTTTGTCTTTGCAAACTTCTAGTGCTGCGTTTGATACAGTCCTTGGAATAAATGTTGCTGTAAAGAAGCTGAGTCGTCCTTTTCAGAATCAAACCCACGCAAAAAGGGCTTACAGAGAGCTTGTTCTTTTAAAATGCGTCAATCACAAAAATGTAAGTTTGGCTTTGTGTTTCTCTCCCTTGTTACTGTCAGTTGTCAAAAAAGCTCAGCTTTTGTAACCAAAGTAATGGAAAAATAGTGAGAGAAAGACTGGAAAGACTTGCTTTTGGTAGTGCGCTTCTCCACAATGGATGTTTTAGCTCTTGGGAGAGCTGTTTGGAGTGTGAAGTGCCAAGATGAGGAGGTTTCTGCTATATTGTTGGTATAGGTTTACTATTAGTTTCAGCTTTATAGTGCTGGCCTTGCTGTATTACATTTGCCTTTTTAAACCATACTGCAACAAAATCTGTCTGGCAGTGTGTTTGTTTGTGAGTTTGGCTCTTGTAACTGTGCTGTAGTGAAATGTTCTGAGCTTAGATAAGATTGTCATTAAATACAGTGTTTAAGCGGTGGGGTCTGCAGGGCTGCAGCACTGTCTTAACAGTTTATTGGCAAACAGAAGTGAAATACTGTGGACAATGCATATATTGAAGTCTGGAACCTTCTAAAATAACAAGCTTTAATGTCAATACCTTAATGTTCGAGTACAAGATTATATGGTTTACGTGACAGCTGTTTTCTGATACTAGCGTGAGCTAGAAACATTGTAGATCGTTGGAAGTTGTACCCTCAGGACTGAAACTTCCTGGAGTCAATCAGCCTTTTGGGACTGATTTCAAAGCAAGCTTTTGTTGAAGTCCAGAAGTAGCAAAATAAAAGCAAGTTGGTTATTAAGGATGGCAGTACAGTAATTTTAGTAGTTCTTCTGGAAACCGTACATCATAATTCAAGTTTAATGGGATGGTGTGGGGCACCTCTGTGTACACGTTGTTTGACAGCCTTGGTTGAAATTCCTTGCTTCACATGTGTTTTTAAAATCAGAGGTTATTATTTATGGGCAAAAAATTGGATATATTTCAGTCACGGGGGAGCCAAGATAGGAGGTGTCATGTAACTTTAAAAAGAAAAAAGTGGTTTTGCCCTGTCTTAGTTCCTTTGGCATACATGCTGCAGTTCTGAACTATTTCTGAATTGGCAGGTTTTCAGCACATGTCAGTTCAGTGAAGCCAAGTAATATTCAAATTGTATATAGTAACAGTGTGCATTTGATTTTGTATAGGAACTAATGAGATAATGGATTTTTATGTGAATTTTTATGTGGAATTTTCTCCTAATTTTTATTTTACAGATAATAAGTTTATTAAATGTATTTACACCACAGAAGTCACTAGAAGAATTTCAGGATGTGTAAGTATTAATTTTTTTGTTTTAATTTTCCTGACAAATGCTGCCTAAGCCCTGGCGCTCTGTTTCCAGTATCCTACAGAATTCACACTTAGAAAATAAAGGGTAGCTGAAAGCTGAATTTAGCCTTTAATTAGTTGTTATTTCTAGATTTTTTTATGAAAGACCAAGAAAGTTGTTTCACTCCATGCATAACATGGAAGTGGGAAATAAAAGTATTATTCACCTTTTAGTCATCTGCCTGCCATACTTTGCTGGTTGCGTATGCATCTGATTTGCGTGCATTGTCCTTTAGCTAAATGGGTCACTGCAGGATAATAGCTCAGTCTTCATAACCTGATATCATTTTTTTGCCATGCCAGTCACATTGGCACAGCAGTATTTTTGGCCTCAATTAAGAACTGAAGATATTTCTTTTTGATGCAAGCAATGTCAGTTGGTCTAGAAAGGATTCATGGCAGTTTAATTGGTGGAGGATTCATAGATTCCAGTGAATGCGCTGTTGTGGTTTGTTTATTGGCTACTTGGGTAAACAGGGGAGTGTGTGTGTGTCTGAAGTGGATAAGCAGAGGGTATTTAAACTTGAAAATTCATTATATCTTCTTAGTTCTTGTTATGTCTTTCTTATTTTAAAATTAGAATACAGTGAAAGGAAGCATCAGTTTTTGATACATTGCAGTATCTGCAATTGCTGCATCAGCTTCAGTCAGTCTTAATTTTCCATGCTGCCTAAATTCAGAATTATTCTTCTATATTACTTTGTATAAAACTAGAGGAGTTCTAACCTGAGATGGATTACTGAACACTTATTTTTTAATAGTGAGACTAATTTGAATAGATAACTCAATTTTGAAACTGGTCATACATGGTTATTTTAATCATAAGCTTTTTAAGACTTATGTTAGCAGAGTAGTTGACTTTTATTAAACACCTCTCACACTAAGCTTAAACCTGATATGAAAAGTAAGACTTGAGTTTTCTTAATGCTTTCTTTCTTGTGCTATAGATATTTGGTCATGGAGCTGATGGATGCAAATTTGTGCCAGGTTATTCATATGGAATTGGATCATGAAAGAATGTCTTATCTTCTTTACCAAATGCTGTGTGGTATCAAACACCTCCATTCAGCTGGTATCATCCACAGAGTAGGTAGTATTAGATCATTAACAATACTTTTATGAATATATGTTCTCAGGAAACAGGGGGGGTAAGGCAAGGGGTTGCTGTTAGCTAAACGTGTTTTTCTTTCATTCATAAGAATATTATTAAATCTGAAGATCTGTTTAGTTCAAAGATAAAAACTATTGTAAATAGATCTTAAATCAGGTTATCTGAACTGATTAAAAGATAAAACATGAGTATCTGTGGACCTTTCAAACTACAAAAGAATGAGTGTTAAAAAGTAATGTTTACCTCTTAAACATCTCTATCCTTAAAGATGCTCAAAAGCTTGGACATGGGCCTGGGCCACTGCCTTCTATTTTCTGCTGCTGCTTTAATCTATTTATTTCATTACTAGTCTGTTTGACAGTTCAACTTCTTTTCTGTTCCTTTCCTTTTCTTCCCCTACTTCCTGGACATACTTGTCTTAAATGTCTGTCTTTTGCCCGGTGGCTAAAAACTCTATCCAGTTATAGTTTAATGTAATTTTTCCTTTATGTTCAATCCATAAACATGATTGAGAGGCTGTGTAAATTACAACAGATCTACTTCCTATAGATCTTTACTGAAAAAAAGTCAGGCATGGAAATCCTGTGGTATGAGCCAGGAAGTTTATATATAGTTGGCTTATGTGTATCCAGGTAGTCTTGGCAGTGGGTGTTCCTAAAGTAATGTAGTGAGGTGTGTAAGAGCCTGAAGCAAGGGGTACTGGAACTCCAGCTGAATTCCACCTGACATGGTGAATGTGATTTGAAGCTAAAAGGAAGACAATATTTGCTGAGAAATTTGAGCTCATAAGGTCTAACATAGTGATCAACAGAGCTGATACTGGCTGAACAACAAAATGGGCAATGAGAGGAACTGCACAGTGAATAGCTAACCAGAGGCGTGAAGTTATTTGAATGGGGAAGCTGAAGTGGTGAGCATTAGGTTGGGTTAGTTTAGGACCAAAATAAAATGAACTTTCTGCAGGGGAAACTCTTGATGAGAGATCTGGTTTTGAAAAGAAACCAGGCCAAGGAAGGAACAGAGCTGGGATAGTTCAGAAGTAATGGAATAGTAGGAATTGCATCGAGAAATTACTCAGACTCTGTGACTGGAGTCAGTTCAGTAGTGTTCTGCAGAACAGTTGTTGCCTGAAATGTGCAGAACCATGTGAACTATTTGCATGTCCCCATCTCCTTCAAGAAAAGGAAGTTCTGTACCTGAGAACACGCTTTATTTTCACTAGCTGTGCGTTCCTTTGGGCACAGTAATGACTGTCCCCGTTAAACACATCTCCTAAAGTAATCTATTTTTTTCCTCACTCATGAGTTACTTAGTGTTTGCACTAGATCCTAATTCTGTGAAATTTTCTAATCACTATAATGCACGTGGGTTATATGTTATTAACAACTACAACTGATTAATGCTTTGTGTGTTGGGATACTCCTTTTCCTGCGCATAAATGCCTAATTGATGATGATGTCTTTAGGATCCGTGCCCTAATAATGACAGTATTTGGAACCTAGTATACTATTCATGTGTAAAATAGGTCCACTTAATGTGTTTTAAGGAAAGAAATGTGTGTAACTATCCTACCAGAGCACAACTGGGTAAAATATGCTCTGCAGACAACTTTGATTCTGGTTTCCCCTGATTTTTTCTGAGTGCTGATCTGTGCACCATTTAACTTGTCTTTAGTCTGTGTATAAATAAGCAGATAGAACAGGAATAGACAATTGTTACTGAATTGGTGCGTGTTGTCTGGGAGTGGTGGTGATGTATTATTGTGTATGTTGATCCTTCCCTAACTGCAGTAATTTCTTGTTAGGATTTGAAACCCAGCAACATAGTAGTAAAATCAGATTGTACGCTCAAAATCCTTGATTTTGGACTGGCAAGAACAGCATGTACTAATTTTATGATGACTCCATATGTAGTAACACGATATTACAGAGCACCAGAAGTTATCCTCGGAATGGGATATAAAGAGAATGGTAAGTTGCTGCAATAACACTTTAAATCCTTTCTCTGAAGTGTAGCTGTCTCAGAACTTAACAGTTTTGAAAGGAGGAGGGAGGGCTGGTTTCCCCCTGCCATGTCTGTTGTTAAAGTATGTTAATCATAGCAGTGGAAATAACAAAAATTACACTGTAATTATTTTGGTGAATATAACAGTTTTCTGCTCTGTGTGCATTTTATTCCCTCTCCCCTTCTATTGATATATCTTTTGATGTGTTGTCCTGTTGTCTTGTTGACTTCTATGCCAGTACATCTTCTTGCTTTATCACACGGGCTTGGGGATATCATGCTTTTTTTTATACATGTCACTTTGGTTGTGTAAAACAAGGGACTCAGGCCCTAGCTGGGCTACTGATAATGAAAATGAAAAACGTGTAATGCACCAGGCAGCTTATTGTGCAGCAAGTGCAGATGTGGATCAGAACTTTAGTAGAGGCTGGTCTGGATAGGACAAAAAATAATCTGCAGGACTGTAGGAATACAGTATGAGCTTACAAATAACTAACTGTGGTATTTAAAAACCCTCTTTAATCTTTTGTCCTTGTTGCACCTAACATATGATAGTGGATATCTGGTCTGTTGGGTGCATTATGGCAGAAATGGTCCTCCATAAAGTCCTGTTCCCAGGAAGAGATTGTATCCTTCTTCATGGTTGTTTCAGTAAACACTGGTTGTGTTTCACAGAATGCTAATAGCAAAACAACAACAGTCAGTTGGTGTTGATATGATTGAAAATTCATGTTAGCAGTTTGGTTTTCCACATTGTTGTGTTTTATTGTAGATGCTAGATGTTTTTGTTTGTTTTCCTCACTTTTGTTCATGATACTTCATAATTTGACCATTTCATTTTTACTTTCAGTTGATATCTGGTCAGTTGGGTGCATCATGGGAGAATTGGTGAAAGGTTGTGTGATATTCCAAGGCACTGATCGTATCCTTCCCTAGTCATCCTTGAATCCCCTTCCACTTTCAACAGAAACACAATTCTTTTAATCTGTATAAGTATAAAAGCATAAACAATATTTTCAAGAATATGTTTTAATAGATCTACTGTACTATTTGAAATTAGTGTCATTAACCAAATCGTAGAGCTTTCCATTTTATTTTCTTAGTAGACTGTATTTAATGTAATTTGAACTGGTTGAATCCATGGAATTCATATTAAGAGCTTCAGCTTTTATAATTTAAGAAAGGATACTGTTAGGTTTAAAAAATAAATAGCAGTAAGTATATTTTCTTCTTTGTAGATAATAAGTATTACAAGCAAAAGACTACAAAGTGACTTTTTACTGTGCATGGGTTTTGATATTTATTTGAACAATAGACTCATTTTTATAGTACAATTCAGTTTGTCAAATTTTTCTCTTGCTTATTAGCACTTGCTGGGCAAGAGTGTCCTAACTGCAATCACACTGCATGAGAAATCTTTTATTACTCTTATTTCATATAAAAAGAAAACCTTTTTCTTTTAAAAGTTTTTTCATTCTATGAAAATCTTATTTTGGACTTACTTTTTGTATAAGATTGTTATTCCTCCATTTCTGCCTCCAATATTTTTGACCCAGATCTATCTCCATAAAATTCTGCTTTCTTGTATGATAGTAATAGTAGGAAATTTTACTGTATTAAAAACAAACACCTCACATTTATGTTTTCATGCCTTAGAGATTTGATATCTCAGACAAGTCTATACTCTGATTTAAGTAAACAGAAGTGATCATTTACTAAAGTAAATGTTCTTTGAAAGTTTTGATGTATTTCAAAATCTTTCCCTAGAAACATTTCAAACATTTGACTCATTCTCAAATTCCAATTCTAAAACTTGGAATAAAACCAATTTCATCTTTTATAAATACTATCTTACAAAGTAGTAGTGTGGTAGGACTAGATGTTCTGAATTGATGAGCAAATAAATAGAATCCAGATGATATAATTAAAGCACAACTGCCAGTTATGCCTGCAGATCATACGAAGCTACAGCTCCTTGTGGTCCAAGATTTTGAGGACAGTGTATTTTTGCTCATCAGCAAGAAGTTGAGTCCATCACTAAAGATACCAAGTATGTGTTCACAGGTATCAGTGTATCTTATAGAGGAGGGCTTTCAATTTCAATGCTAAATTTCATGACACTAATCTTCAGCAGCTGATCATGCATTATTTAGTAATACAAATGATTGTTAAATAAGTCTTTTTTGTTTTCCACCTTTCTTCCTTTCTATACTTATTGTTTTACCTTTTGAAGCCTTCAGACCAACCTAACACAATTCTTCATGGATGTTATATGTCTGTCACCTGCATGTCAGCATGAGCTATTTTGAGTTATTCATGAATAAATGAAGGAAATTTTGTCCATACTTGTTGACTAAGCAAGTTATATCTGTGGTTTTCCAGAGGTCACTGAAGTTCCACCAGTCTGTGTTTCAAGGAGTCTTCTCCCCTGGTAGCTTATCAAAGTGCATAGCTGTGCTTACAGTGGTTTTTACTTCTTGTAAGACTTTCAGTTCTCTTTAATGTGAAATACTGATAACTGTTGTTGAAACTTCTCCTGAATGATAACTGCTTCAGTCAGATTGTCATTTTCTTTTACCTTCAGCTGCAGGGTTTTGTTGACGGAGTGGTTTGTGGGCAATGCTGGTGTAAACAGCCATGAAGCGTTGCTTTTTGTGGGTGTGTGTATGCTTGTTAAGCTTCAGTTGAAAACTGACTTAGTATTTGGGGATTTACAGCAGGGAATCAAGTTCAGCATGTATTTTCCCATAGGGTCTACAGGATTGTCAAGGTACTTAGAGCAGTGCTATGGGTGGAGTGGGGTGCTCTGCATAGCCAGCATGATGGATGCACCGGAACTGTTCCTGACTGGTAGTGTGGGGACCTCAGTTACTGGCAGTGGCTGTTGCACTAGAAATAACAAACAGAAAACCAGGCAGTGTAGTTACCTAGGATGAAATAATGGAAACCTAGCAGCACCAGTGTGGTTTTAATGCTCTTTCTGACCAGATGGTGAAGGAAACTATTTGCTTGACTCATGCAAAAAGCTTGAGGGGGTACTCATGCTTACTTGAGGACGATCATGTTTTATTGTGATTGTAACAAGGTCTCTGTTTTCAACTTTTCTTCCAGAGTCCCTGAAAGTAGGCAGATATACTTGGCATGGGCTAAAATTCTCTTTACCTTTGACCCCGAGGTCACTAGAACAGTTTGTCTGCAGGTTGCAAGGTTATTCACACAGCATGTGCTGCCTGCTTTACATGGAAATTACGTTTTCTCCCATTTGAGTTTCTGATAAAAGGCTTAACTTATTTCAAGTCCAATCCTACATTGAGGGTTTGTTTTTATTTTATTTTATTTCATTTCAGCTCTCAATATCTGTAAAGCATTTTAAGCAATCCAACTGAGACATTTTTTCCCCTGTTTTTATTACTGAAGTGGGATAGGTCATTAAGTTTTCCTTCCCTCCCTTCTGTGCCCTGAGGCTACAATAGAGTAGACTCAGTTTGAGTGCTGTTACTCAAAGAAAAAAGCAGCTTCTTGAATCTAGATTGGTGGAGATCTTGCAGAAACCATTTTTCCAGCTAGGAACAAAATTTCCTGTTGTATGTTAAAATTTCCTTTGTATGTGCTTTGTTTTAGCATGCGAGTTAACAGTATTGACTTCTTAATTTTTATTTGAATACAGTTTTTCCATTGGAATGTATTCAATAAGCAAATTTTCAATCTTCATATCAGAAGTCTAAAGTCTTAACAAGAGGCATTGAGTCTATGTATATTTCTAGCTGAATTCTTGGCACACTAACTGAAATAAAAGTACCTCGGTGTTTTTATAATACATCTTAATTCAAAGTGCAGCAAACTTACTGTTTCATTACAAAATCTGTCTATGAGAATGGATGGGTTGATCATGAATTTAGCTAGGACATTTTGCAAGGTCGACAGTTAGATGGTTAGACTCTGCTGGAATTGCACATTCTCTTTATCAGGAAAAAATGTAAATCTGAGTAAACTTCAGTATCAGGAATATTAACTGCAGTGTCTTCTGAGTGTGATAAATGAGCTTTGTTACCTCAGTGAGGCTTATTCAGAGCAGCCTTTGGTATCTCTGTAACCCATGTCACTGTGTCTAGGAGAAATGCCCTCACTTGAAAGCAGGAGAAGGGGCAGTCCAGAAGAAACATAAGGCACAATTCCTCAAGCATCCAACCAAAGCCCCAAAACTGCTACTACCCAAAGCCTCATTTCCTTAGGAGACGAGCACAAAATTCCTTACTTTGAATGGGATGTATTTGTTTGCTTTAGGGTCTTTTTCATGTATTTTTCCATACTTTCAAGAATCTTCACTGTTGATGGTATCATGTTGTACTTTGAAGATTCAAAGCAGCCTTTCTTTCCTGTCCTTCTCCTTTGCTATGGATACAATTGCCAAGTAAAGCTGATTTTAGACTCAAAGAAAGTATTGCTTTCAATACTAGCCAATAGATAATAATGAGGAAAAGATACTTGGGCGTAATGCGTTGTGCAGCATTTCTGGCCTGTCCTTAATATTATGAAATGCGAATCTTAACTTTTTTTAATGTCAATCTAGCTTTTTGCATGGCAGCTCGGAATACTGTTGATGCTAGAATGAAGTTCATGTTTGTGTCCTTTGTTCGAGTTTCCATTAACTTTTCAGATTTCTGTAAGTGATATTTTTGTATAGTGCAGACTTCAAATTCTTCAGCTGATTTTCCTAAAGATATGGTGCAGATATTGATCAATGGAATAAAGTTATTGAACAATTAGGAACACCATCAGCAGACTTTATGAAGAAACTACAGCCTACAGTGAGGAATTATGTGGAAAACAGGCCAAAATATCCCGGTATTAAATTTGAAGAGCTCTTCCCAGACTGGATATTTCCATCAGAATCTGATCGTGATAAGTTGAAAAGTAAGGCAAGATTTTTTGTAACTTTTTCTTGTTAAGATGTTAATTTAAAATCTCTGCAGTACGCTTAATAAACAACCAAAACTAATATAAAATGTTTATTTCAATAGGTGTCAATATAAGAAGCTCCGTAACTTCTGTTCCTTATGACGTGTCCTGAAATCTTCGTAGTAGTTGTTAAATACAGAACTATTCCCTGTTCTCAGTATTCTGTTTAATTCTCTTAATTCTAGTCTATTGAAAAACATCCGTTGCTTAAATGTTCTCTATTATGGAGATTATTTGTAACTATCTTTTTCTAGTTGATGTGTATATATAAGTTAGTTTGGCTAAACTTTGACTTCAGATGATTACTGATACAATGAGAAAAAAACACCTTATATTTTCTAAATGGTCAAATATTTATTTATACATAAAATAACTTGTTATAGCCTATTTTATTAGTACAATGGTCATTCAAACAACAAAGACACATCAGTGAAGTGCCACTCCGACAATGAGTAGCCAGTTATCCCTCAGTAAAAAAAATTTGATACAGAAATCTGATCAGATCATTTCTGTACCACGATATTTTTAATAAGCTTTAAAAAAAAATACATTTAGTGTGGTTTATGTTCAGTAATTAGTGCTAAATAAACTGTGACCCGTGTAACAGCAGAACTGTTCAAAATTGAATTTAGTTGGTCTCAGTTGCTGGGTTTATTTTGGATAATAGCAAGAAATACATAGCTGTATAAGGAAGTTAGGATTTGTGGGTCTACTTTCACAGTGAAATCTGACATGCATATCTTATGTTCCTAGTATTCATTTCCTATGGCAGATGTTAAACTCTACAGCTCTTTTATGTGTATGTTCTTTTCATTTTTACTTTCTAGCCAGCCAAGCTAGAGATTTATTATCAAAAATGCTTGTAGTAGATCCAGACAAGAGAATTTCCGTAGATGAAGCCTTACGTCATCCTTATATTACTGTCTGGTATGATCCAGCTGAAGCAGAAGCTGTAAGTTTCCATTTAAAATAACTTTTAAGATACCGGTTTAATAACTTTGAAGTTTAGTTTTAGTTAGGTGTATGCTTTGAACCCATTCTTTGGCTAGCAGAAGCCGCACATAAAGCCTTCAGATCAACATTAGGGGCAGAATCACCTTAAGAACAGCTGCTGGAGTGCAGCTGATTTCATTTTGAAAGCGGTTGTTTATAGTTCCTTTTACTTTACAGAAGGAGTTGCCTATGTGATGGCAATCTAGGCTTTTCAAAAAGGGGTCTTTCTCTAAGGCCCCATAAAGCGTTAAAATGAGTTGTGCTTTTAAGCAGCCTTTCAGTGGCAGCAGGACATAAAAGCAAATTCTGGACTCTCAAAATGAATGTGAGGTATAGAGTCTAGACTGCCAGAGATGAAGGTAACGAAATGCTAAGAAAGCTGTCATTTTTAGCTGTTTTAGTTATGATTGGTTGTGTTAACCTCATGTGGTAGATACTCTATAGACTTTCTTCTCTTTGTAGCCTCCACCTCAAATTTATGATGCGCAATTGGAAGAAAGAGAACATGCAATTGAAGAATGGAAAGGTAAAAAAAACCCATGTGAAATTACATTTATTGTAAGAACTTGTATTATCAGTGCATGGCTTGCAGTACATGTGCTCAATAAAATGCCACAGTTTTCATCTTTTATCCTTCCCATTTGTAATCTCAACACTTCTTTTTCCTTGATAGAAAATCCTGTGATAGCAGCATGCTTCTCTTCTCACTGCATTATTTAAGCCGTATCTCTTGACAGTATTTACAAATTCATTTGTTTTAGAAGTCTTAAATAGAAGAGCTTTTTTGGTGTGTGTGGCTTTGTTTGATTTCTTTTTTTCTCTCAATGCATATTTATTGATCAAATAGGTTAAACTGTTGACTTTAACAAAAGAACACACGGCATTGTGGCATTGAAATCAATTCACCTTATAGTGGTAGTCAAATACATTAAGTAGTGAGGCAGTTTAAATTTTAAGCAGCTACCATCAGAGGACCAAAGGCAGTAGATATCTTTGACTGCTTTGAAAGCTGCTTGATTTTGTGAAATAGCATTATAAATCTCAGTATTGATTCTGGCTTATATTTTCTTTAGAGCATGTCTGCGCAGGTATACTTCAGATTATTTGGGTTAATGCAAGGTGGAAAATTAAAATGTTTCTTTAACTCTGATTGAATCCATTTGTAAATAATGTTACTCCAAATTAAGGAAGTCTGTATGGACTTTTGAAAATCCAAATATGACTTTTTTTGCCCCACTTAATATCAGTGCATCATAGATACACCTGAAGTATTGGGGTGGGATGGTAGCTATTTTTAAGTGGACAGCTGTTTATAAAATATGTTGATTTTTGGCACATGCTTAATGTCTTTCTGTCATGCATAAAGAAAATCCATAGAATTATCTGATGCTGTAGGCCTTTAAAAAAACAAAAGTGAAAATAAATACTTGCACAGCTGTCCTTTCAGACTGACCCTTAACCATTTCATTGACCTTTGTATATATGTGAATTGTGTACAAATCCTCCGTGACCTTACAGTATGTTTTCTCTCTTTTCTCTCATTCTTCCCACCCTTCTCATGTAAGAATTAATATACAAAGAAGTAATGGATTGGGAAGAAAGGAGCAAGAATGGTGTGGTAAAAGATCAGCCCTCAGGTTAGTCATTGTTTCTGTAGTTCTCCTGTAACTATCATGCATAGTGCTGATCTGTTGCACTAGTGAATGAAGATATCCTGCTTAATAATCCAGGTAGGCAAAAGTTTCATTGCTCAAGATTCTTTGAGATCCTTTGGAGTTCCATGTGCAGTAGTTTTCCATTGTTACGAAGTAAGTTACAGGAAAACTTTAAGGAGTCCTGTGTCCCAAGACCCTGAGCTGCTTTCTCCCCAGAGGGCCGTCATCAAATGAAATAATCAATACCATGCTACGTCACTTGTTGCAGCATAGATACCTTTTACACTGAATGCTTATTCTATGGCTCTGCATGAATAAATCCCTTTCATGCAGGCTTAAACGTCACTGGGGCTCCTTTAAAATAATTGATAGTGCAAAGTATTTATGCTCATGATTGAATCCTTGATGTTTGCTGCTGTTCATGTTATACATTGCCTCCCCCCACCTACCCCTGCCTTTCTCTCCAGAAAGGGAGAAGCATAAATATCTCTTCTCTTAATGCTCACTTTTAGTTTTGACTACTAAACGCTTTCTTTTCTACGCTTTCTTTCCTTTTCTAAGGATTTCTGTGGAGAAAGTGATGTTATTTGTGTCTGCAATATTGTCTTGCCTCAGATTTTATTATGTTTGGTTTACTTAGCACAGATGCAGCAGTGAATAGCAACACCAGTCCTTCCCAGTCATCATCTATCAATGACATTTCATCCATGTCAACAGAGCAAACATTGGCCTCCGATACAGACAGCAGCCTCGATGCTTTGACAGGACCCCTCGAAGGATGTCGATGATCAGCCAGGATTGCAGACTTGACTTTGGAAAAGATCTCTTGCTTCCATTGGGCCTGAATTGCTTGTAAGTTAATGGAACCAAGTAGAAAAACTCCATGTTCTGCATGTTCTGCTAAAGTAATGCCTGTTTTTTTTTTACTCAGTTGTTATGAAATTGCCTGCTTAATGTTGTAGAATGAAAGCAAATCAATGTTTAAAGAACAAAAGATTTTAAATTTAGACTCTATTATAGGCTTTTGTTTGTTTCAGCCTATTTCAGGTGAGCAGTTATAATAGACTTTTAGCCAATAACTCCTCCTAAGTGGATTCATGAATCTTCAGTCCCAACCAGCAGGCTTCTGTGACACAATGGTTGTTTACATTTTAGTACAGTATTGCTCATTAGAGGTTTTTTGAATGTATAGTCTCGATGAAGTTTGTTTTAATGTGTGACTGTGGCAGTTTGCTTTATTTAACGACTGGAGCGTTGTATGTAAGTGTGATCTCACACATTGAATGCTGTCAGTTCTGTGTTTAAAGGGTAGATATTCTTCCACGTAGCACTTTTTATTTTATTGAGCCCTTTCTAGCTTCACTTTCCAATTCTGTCTATCTTCTTGTAGAAGAGATAAACGTGAAGTGTAAAGAATATAGCCATTACTTTGTATTTCACCTGTGAGCATGTGTGTCTAACTTTTCAGTTCTTTAAATATGGGTGGAAGATACAGTGGCTTAATTAAACGTTAAGGAAGGATGAGTGACTTATCTGTGAAGCAGTGCCTGTTTAGAAGAGGAGAGAGTGCTAAAATGTTCTGTATTTTCTAGATTGTGATACTGGTCCTTTACCAAAAACAAACAGAAAAGGAAATTTTATCTGTGATGCTCTTCATTCACTGCAAACTGATAAAAGGACAGATGAATTGGAGAGACTTGCAGCCTCAAAAAGAGCTGCATAAATGTGTTCCATTTTTTTAATGGGTCCATTCTGTCTAGTGAGTAATTAAAGAAAGAAAAATGCAGTAGTTTTGAGTCACTTGTAAATTAAGTATTTAGTTAACAGAGTTTAGCTCTATTCTGGCCTTAGGAACAACTCTCTGTTTGTACTGGGAGATGAAAACATATTTAGTACATATTTTCTAAATACAGTGTCAGAGAAGAGGAGATTGAGAGTATTTGCTGCTTCAATACAGGCTTATCAGTACAGTTTTCAGAACCAGATAATACAAATGTTGCCTGTTACACTGCATAATATGTTGAATTAGAAAATGTATTTGTAGTAGACTAGGGCTTAAATTGCTTTATACTGCACTCCTGTGAATCTGTGCACGTTCACTTGGGAGTGCACAGGTGTGAAACTTTGCTAAAGGATCGTGTGTGTGTGTGTGCATGCATGTGAGACTAAACTATATCGCTATAAGAGTAATAGAGATGTACAAGATGAGGTAAAACACCACTTTCTTAAAGGCACTATATTTAGCTGTTGATCAAGATACTCTTGACTTGAATATATAAATAGGACTTATAAAATATACTGGCCCAGCCAGCCACTGCATTACTGACATATTTCTCTTGTAAAAGAAAACTCTCTGTTGTTTCTGACCTTATAATTTGAAAAGCATCGATTTCTCTTTATGCAATATTACTTTTATGTTAAAATTGTACCACTTTTTAATAGCTAAATTTGCTCTAGCAAAAATATTAAGGTTTTACTGTCCCAGAAGGTTAAAAAAAAAAAAACCAAAATGAACCAACATTTCTTAACATTAAATTCAGAATTGTCATCTGGAATCTTGGATTTTTAAAATTCTATTTAAATGAGTTGCAGGATATTAGGGCTTGGGTTTTTTCCTTGTTGTTTGGTTTTAAACCTATGGATACTTTTACTTTTGGATACTGACAATATATGTGAAATATTTTTAGTGCACTTTTGTCACTGGAAGAAAAACAACCTACATTTAAAAATAGCTATTTACCATATAACAGAACAGTACAGGTTGCTGTTCTTTGGCATCTTTTTAATCCTTGTTATTTGTGTAAGTTAAAATTACTAAAGACCTATTCAAAATGAACAGTAGTGATCCACTATGCAAGTAACTTCCTTGGATTTCATTTTTCCACATTCTTATCTTTTTCAACTGAAGTTGCACTGTGCTATGTTCATTTTAGCAGTTACTGCTTTAGAAGGCTTAACGCAACAAAGATTGTAGATATTTAGGGTTGAATTTTTTCTATTGGATTTGGTCTGCTCAAAACTATGAGGGTTGGACCAGATGACCTCCAAGTCTCTTCCAACCTAAATTATTCTGTGATTCAAAATGTCATTTAATGTTTAACACAACTGCCCTATCTCCATGATTTGAACTGGTATCTGACCTTCTCCTAGAGCATACTATTAGTATATGTGCTCTTGAAGACCCCAGAGATTAACTGAGTTTCTTTGTAAATCTTCTTGTAGATAAGCTGTCTCATACCTTATTTTTTTAACATCATCTTGCTATGGCATACATTGAAGCTTCCAAGTTTTACAAAAATGTTGCTGCCTTCAGAGTATGCATGAAATGTCTGTGAATATTGTGGATTTTGGTTCCAGTATAAACCAACATCAAATTGCTAATACCTGTATGAACACTGATCTCAAGAAGACACATACGCAGGTTATAGTCAGAAAAACGCATGCAGAATAGATGCATGCTAAAGCTCCCATGCTATTTCAGTGTGCACATATAGACTCTGAATGCACTGCATGCTGATTATATGCATCTAGTTGTATTCCTGACTGCAGATTAAGTTCAGTGCCACGTTTGTGATATGGTCGTCAATGCCGTGAGAGCTTCATTGATGGAGAGCAAAGTGCACGTGTAACTTGACAAGGGTTTAAAAGTTGAGAGTTTGGTGTGCAATAGAATCACTTTTATTCCTAATACTAAAATCATGTATGTTAAGTGATGCAATTGACCATTTTTTTGCACTTTGGCATTTATAAATATTTATATGTATTTAAAGATTAAGACTATGTGAGTGTGTGTATACATATATATATAAAGACACCTGCTCAGTTTCGTAAAAATGAATGTTACTTTTCTTTGAGAGACTTTGTATAGTGTTAACACTACTGCAGTATACATAAACAGTTGATGAAATCAGACTAAAAATAAGTGGTGGTCAAAATAGATACAATCTGTAATCTTAACTGCTCACCTGAAAGAAAGAGGGATCTATGGCTATCAATCAGATTAGTTACCAGAAACATTGTTAGATGTATGAACACTGAGTAGCTGAATGGCATTGCAGAAATGGAGTATGTTTTAAACAGTTCGTTTCATCTGTGCTCATATCATTTTTCCTCAAAAACCTACGACCTTTAGAAAGAAAAGCTTGGCATTTTGAACTCTGATAAGCAGCCTGTAAGTGTGATTTGAGGAAATACTGTGATATGGCAAATTCAGTTTTATATTGAAAAAGGTGAGAAGTGAATGTTAAAATTAAGGCTTTGTCTGCATGAATCACACAAAATAAACTAGTCTAATGACTGGAAACTACTGTTTGCAAACAGCCTTGGAAGTTTTGTAATGTTTCCGTTTGCATTTCCTTGTCAAAATAAATTCAACCTTAACTAGAAATTAACTAGTTAGTTGGTAAGTTTCAAAAGCTGTAAGGAACCAGAGGGCTCTGGAGGTTTTTGTTGTCTCTTTTTAAGACCTAATGGAGCATATGTGTTTATTCAAAATTAATTAAGGAAAACCAAAGTGATTCCATATGTTCAATTTTCCTTTCCTAAAGGAAAGTTGGTTTCCTTTTTAGATCTATTTGGCTTTAAATCCTGATTTTATCAATTACGTAGCATTTAGACATTCAAAATACAGCTGACATCCCAAGTCTCCAAGAAGCGAGTGGATGACCCTTCTATTGGCAGAAGTGCAGTCCTCTATTTTCACGTGTGCTGGAAGTTGAGATGTTAAAGTGCAGACAAATCTTTCCTGAACATAATCCTGGTTTGGAGTACGGGTTCAGTCTTGCAGCAATACAGTTTGTGTGGAGTGTTTCATTTGAACTGTGACACTTGAAGTGGAAGTTTAAGCATGGTGGGGGGTAAATACTGAACAGCCTTTGTCTGTATATTCTACATATGTCATATGGATTCTATCAGGGCTTGATGCTAAACTTAGTGATACCATATACTGGGAACCAAATTCTTTCCTGGGAGGTGTATTGTGGAATTCCTGCTCAAAACTGGCTTTGATCTAGGGATGCCAGCACCCAGATGCGGAATTTGGACTTGAGTTCCTATAGATGAATCTAGTGATTTCTTTGCTTTTCCAGAGTGTCTTTTGGTTTTATTTTTTTTAAGATGTTGAAATATGACAGAAAAAATGTATTCTGGCTTATTATTTTACATATATTTTAGGTTGTCTATTCCATGAGTGATAGTGATGTTCTAAAAGCTTATTACATGACTTCTCAGATCAGTTTTATTTTTTGCCCGCTCTGCATGCTAAGAATGTCTGGAGCTAAACTAATGTTTTAAGCAAACCATCTTTTCTCATATTCGTGTTGGAGGAAAGTGGGGAGATAACCATCATATCTGTTTGTGTTCTATAAAATGACTATTTTTGTAGCTAAAAGTTTAGTTGCGGGATTTCAATCCCACACAATGTTGCTTTGTGGCTATAAATTTCCCTGGGTCCGCTATTTCAAACAGTATGTGTATAACAAGTCCAGTATGAAATTAAACTAATAAAATGCACTCTTCTGCAATTTGTTATTGAAAATATGGCAAATTATTTTAGTCCAAGACTTCAAAACAAAATAGAGAAAATCCATGTAACTCTTTAAGGTTTTTATTCCTTGATGCTGCTGTTTGTTTTATGGAAAGGTGCTTGCAGTTTTGCACAGAAGAAATCAACTTCTATTAATTGCTGGGTTTGAAGCACTTTAGGATTCTTCTAAATACAGCCAGTTTATAATGTAAAAAGGAATGACATGAAAGTTTCATGTGTTTAAATTTTGGTTGCCATCTTTGCTATTCTGATGGATTTGATCAGTGTGTTCCTTTAAATATAAATCTGTTTTCAGAGATTTGAAATGAGAAATCTTTCTAATGGGCCAAAATTTAACACACAGTAAGAGATCATTTGAGAAACATCTTGGACTCAAACGCCCGTAGGTGACTTGAATAGCAATGTGACTACCTAACCATTTGTTAGATAAAGAAACAACAAAGTTACAACAGTGTGTGTTCCTATAGTGAGTTCAGATAGCTATGAGCACTGGGATTCTTTTTCTTCAACAAAAAGCTTTTTATTACCTATAGCTACACATCATAAGGTAGTTGTATCTGCTGTGGTGAGGCCAGAACAGCTGTTTATTGGGACTCCACTGCAGTAGATGCTGTATGAATATACCACAGGAAGGCATTGTCCCTGCTCTGAAATGCTAGTCCAAAACCCTGATGCTTTCTAGGGTGTACTTAAGCAAATCCCTGTGCATTTGTTTCTGTAGCTCAGCACTCTGTAGTTTCTTAGGGTAACAAAAGCAGAGAAGAATGTAATCGGGTAAGAGCAGCATTTTATGTTCGCTACCTGAAACAGTCCTATTTGTTACTGATAACAAAGTGAATTTAATACCTGTGAGCATATGCTAATGTGTTGTCTTCTAATGGGGAAGATCTTTTTTGAGAACCCAAGCTTGTCACATAGTTTTTCTATGAATTCAGATGCTTAAATTGGTGCTAATTTTTTAAAAGAAGATGTAACAGATGGCTAGCAGTGTATTTGTCCATTTTTGATACCTATATTTTCTTAAGTGGTGGCAAGCCAAACTTTATAAAAACGAACCAATGTGCATTTTCAGCTTCATCAGGTTCCCAGATTTTCCTCAAGTAAAATGTTTAAACGTCCATGGTAGTTGCTGCTTCTTTGGAGCTATTGCTTTCAAGTGTTGTGTACACTAATAAAATGAACACAGAAAAGATAGCAAAGCATCACTGTCCCTTTCTTGAAGTTACATGATGTGTTGGGTTCCCCATGTGGTTTTAGTAGCTTAGTGTAATCAAGATACCTAATTAAAAGCAAGTCACAGATACCTGTGTGCAGTTAACTCAGTTCAGTGAAGCCTTACCAGGTCATTAAGATAATGTATAAAGATTATATAAATTTTCATCTATTTTGAAGAGGGAATAACAAATAGAAATAATTACCTGTTTTCATACAAATCCAAATGTTAATTGCAGAGAATATATTCTATGATTCTATAGTGTACTCCAGAACACATGCTATTAAAGAGTAGAATAGGCTCCTTGAGTCATTTGTTATGAAATCCAGTTTTATCTAATGATTCAAAATACCCCCCCTCCAAAAATCAGTTCTTTGAGAGTTTCTTTTGAGATGCCTTCAAGTTTTAAGTCCCTTTGGAATGCTTTCTATGGCTCGTTTTGGCCTCCCTTTCCCACGTTCTGTTTACCAAATGTCACAAAAAGTAGCATCAAGCCCTATCACTTATTACAGTGTTCTGATTTTATGGCCTTAATGTTAGTTACAGTATGGTATATAATTTCAGAAGAAAGATGTGCTTTGAAGTCTAATTATATAGATACATGTGGCCTCTTTTGCCTATGAAATTAGGCTTTGATTGTCATATCTCATTCTTGATGCTTGTGCAATAGGAACATGTTCCTTTCAATGCAGTGGCTATTTTGTCTGATGCTGGATTTTATTTTCAGGATGACTAGAAAGTGTTTTGAGTTG